CCAAGTTCCCATGGAATATCGAGATGCCAGTTGGAGTGAAAACACAGCTCTCAGCACTAAACCAGTGCTGTATCTTGTGTTCAATCCCCAGTAATCCTGCTCTGGAACCACGGACACTGCCCAGGTTGGATGTGGATGGGGAATTCCCACAACTCCCTCTGGAGCTTTTTCTTTGCATCCCTTGATAACTGCATTAGTTTAGGGCAGGGACAGGCCATTAAGCAGCCCAGACAGTCACATACCTTTCACTGAAAGCTGAAAGGGCATTTTATCCCCTTCACAGGTGCACTCATAAACTCCGGCATCCTCTTCACAAGTGCTGCGGATTTTCAGGATGTGCCTCTTCCCCACGGTTTGAAGCTCATATTTTTCACTGGCCTTGAGCTCCTTCCCATCTTTCAACCATTTCACTGTGGCCTCTGCGTCTGAAAGCTCAGCCTGGAGTTTGGCTTCCTCCCTCAGCCGAGCAGAGACCTTTTCTACCTCTTTGCTCTTGTTGGTAAATCTCACTGCAGCACCTGCCAGGGTAAAAGTTGTTATTTCAGCTTATATTGAGGCAATTTGTCCCTGCTATGAGTTTCCTTAGACTGTGAGATCTCTAAAAGTATTAAATCCTGTTCCTGCCCTCCCACTCATGTCAATGCTGAGCATTTTTTTCCAGTTCAGAGGACTTGATGTGTTTTTATTAACTGAACCAGTAAGAAATAAAAACCCAAACCACGTTTTTCTACTGATTAATAATACTCCCAACAAGCTTCTGCAGAGATTTTTCACCCAAAGCCAAACACATCCTTCCAGAATCAATGTCTATTCATCATGTTTTGCCAGGCAATGTGGGTAGATACAGATGTTACTGTCATTTCATAAAAGGAAGCACCCAACCCTGGTTCTTAAATGATTTACACAATACTAAGTTGTGCATCCCATAGACAGTGAACTAAAAGACCTCCAAGAAAAAGCTTTGTTAGTAATCAATGCTCCTTTGCTTTTGAAAGGTTAATAGTCAGAAAGCCCAGGTGAACCTGGAGCTGAAATTTCCACTTTAGGGTAAGTCAGTGGTAGATTTGGTGACAGAATCCACTGACTGATGGTTGTGAACGACAGAAATTTGTGAGCAGTCTAGTCCTGATACCACCAGCTGGCTAGATAGACTCACTCTGAACTCTGAATTAGGATGGTGATGTCATTCCCAGAACCCACATTAGTTCACATGATGCAATTTCAGGTATTTCCCACAGCCCAGGCATCAGTGAAAGCCTCCAGCCCCAGTTCTAATCATCAGGTCACAGCAACAGCCCCATGCCTGGAAGAACAAAGGAAAATAAATACCTTTCACTCTCATCTTGGTGCTGGTCTCAACATCACTGGCAACAAATTTCACTTCTGCTCCATCATCCTTCTTGGTGACGTTCTTTATGATGAGGGTGTGAGTGGTTTGGGTTCTCTTGATGATGCAGGTCTCACTTTCCTGTAAGACTTTACCATTGAGGTACCAGGTGCCGGAACATGTCTTGGTGAGGTCGACAGTAAACAGGGCATCCCCTCCAGGTACAGCCTCAGCTGTTGTCAGGGGGCTTTTCACAGCCAACACTGGTTCTAGGGACGAACAACACCACACATCTCTGAGAACAAGACACAAGACAGTCCTGCTGGAGGACAGTTCATCCTAAGAACAAAGTTTTCAGGGTAAAAAAGACAAGAGAATAAAATCATGCAGTCTTATACAGAAGGCAATTAGTGCTCAGTCTGTAGGATTTGTTTCCTACGGCTTCAAGTTCTTGACCTCTGGATGAGGGTAAATCCTGTTTTTTCCGGGGGAAGAAAAGGCATATTTTGCTGGGGTTTTTTATCCCCTAAGATATATAAAGGCATAAGCCTGAAACACCCAGGTTTCCCTATAAGGGTGTTATTAATTTAATAACCGGTACAATTCTTAGATTTCAGAAGGATCCTAAGGAATCACTCCTAGATATTCCTACTAGTCACTTGTAGATATTTTAGGAATATCTACATTCTAGGAATATCTACAGTTCTAGGCATTTTCAGACAGCAAGGGAGGGAAAAGATGACACAATAACAAGAAAGAGTATGATCAAGGTCTTCCAAATCTTGTCTAGTGCAGTGAATCAAAGGAAGAAACACACTGGCACCCTAGAAATAAAGGAAACCCTCAATATTTCTCCCAGTAACTCTAAGATTAAAGAGAGAATGGTTAGAACTTGGTCTTCATCACGGTGTCATCACCCATAAATATTCTCTAGGTGCAAGATGGAGATCTCACGCATATATTGAAAATTATATTGTAAGTCCACCTGAAGTTTTACTTTTAGACCAAGCCTAGAAGAAGATTTAATAGGTTTAGGGTTCATTGCAGAGAGCTCCGCCTCTCACACAGCTGGACGTGAGATATTGGGATATAAGCACACTCACAGCTCTACCACGGAAACCCAACCTCCACCCAACTTTGGTGGCAGTCAGGGGTTGACATGAATTGGGAGAACAAGCAGTGAAGGGGGGAAAAAAGGTTTTTCTGTGCCATTGCTCCATCCTCAAAGTCATGGGAGACATTTTCAAAGCACCCACGCGTCCGATCGCCCCAGACTGGGTTTCATGCTCACCAAGGTGGACGCTCCCGGGGAATTCCAGGTAGGGGCTCTGTCCATAGGTGTTGACTGCAGACACTCTGAACTGATAATCAGCCTCTTCTGCCAGGTTGCTCACGGTGAGCTCTGGGGCAGGGACGTGGGACTCGTGGCACCTCACCCAGGTGAAGCCAGTGAGTTTCTTGCGTTCCACGATGTATCCGTCGACTGGAATGGGCCGGTCCATCTTGGGAGGGGACCATGCCAGAGTCACTGAGGTTTCTGTTTTATTTTTCACCACAGGGTCGGCTGGGGGTTGGGTGGGAGGTTTTTTGGGCGCTGCACAAGGAAAAAAATAAATAAATAAAATTAGAGGAAGGAGTTTACGTCGGAGTGGAAAAGCCGCTATGCACCGCCCAGAGAGCTCACGCTGGACTAAAAGTTACTCTTACTTAATAAACCTCCCTAAAACGTTGATGTGAGATGGAAAAGCGAGGGAAGGGATAGAAGATGCTTTTGGGGTGCATTACACATAAAGCATAGAATCATTATGGTTGGAAGAGACCTCTGAAATCGTCAAGTCCAACCTTTAATGTACAACATTCTCACCTCCATGGAAACGTGTGGTTTCTACACAGTATGAAAATTGTCAACACAGACAATCTTCAACAAACATTTTGTAGACTTAAATCTTCAGTGCTAGATGCAGACCCATCCTGCTTCCTACACAGCTCCTGAGCAAAGCAGACTAACACTCAGCTCTTCATTTTTGCTCAGAAGGTGGGTAAAACCACCACCAAAGGCTGTTCAAACCTTTTGGAATTATGGACATTTCAGGTGCCTGTTACACAGGCTTGGATGTTCTCTGCAGCCTCTTCCTTGTGGGTGTTTGTTCTCTGTCTTGCTTCTGTATTTTATGTTATCCCCACTCAGAAGATCTGTTGTAACTTTGTGTTAATTACAGCTAATTGGTAGTATCATTGGGGATCTCTGTTTTACTGATTTATGCAGAACCAGACTTTGAGAATTAACTTCAAAAGGAAATGACATAAAGACAATGTCCCCACTCTGAGACCCTATAATTGCAGAGATGTGATTATTTTATGGTACCTGAGGCCACAAACTTCTCCCTGCAGGTATTTGCATAGTGAATATTTATGTTCACCCTTCTCATTCCTCTTGAATCCTTTGGAGAAGACTCAAGTCCCATCAGGGTTATTCACTACGTGCTGCCACTGATGTCATCAAGAAACTGGGAATTATCTGATACGCTCTAGTTACACCTCTACTGACGTGGCAAACGATTAATTTCATTTAATTTTGGCTATTTGAAAGGTGTCTGGGTTAAGTCAGCCAACCAGACTCCAGCAGTAATCCCATGGAGAACAGCACTCTCGGGAGCAACTCATCCCAGCTCAAAGAAGGTGTGGGAGATGGGTGAAACAATCCCACACTGCACATCCTCAGTTATTCATGGCTGTGGAGGGAGCCTGTAGGATGAGCCTAAACTAAAATCTGAGCTGTGGGACAACTGATCTTCTTCCTGCCTCAGCTTAACCATCTTTAAAATGGGCATAGTAGCAACACAGGACACTGAGCAAATGATATACAAACATTACCTGTGTGTTATAAGTGCTGTTTGAACAGCCAACACCGGTTTTCTCCAGCTAATTTGAAGAAGACACGAGCACAGTACACAGGATTCTCCAAGCAGATGGTCAGAGATGTTACATAAATAGACACAGAAGTGTTTTGGGGTGCACAGTTACCAGCCTGTCAGTAACTCTGGTCACAGCTAGATGTCAAAGGTCCCGCTAGGGTAACATTAAGCTGAGTATTAAGCCCTGGAATGAGATCTCTTGACTTTACCATCAGAAATGGTCGTGTAATATTTTCCTCAGCGGTACCTGTTTGTAGGAAGGCAGTTTCTTACCTTTTTTCTATTCCATCAAGCAACACTTTCTCTGTAACTGAAACAGTAGTGTCTGAAATCAAACAGAACTTTGTTGTTCCCATTGAATTGGTTGGATGTCACAGCTTTCCAAACACCTTAGAAACTGTCACGAAGCCAAATGTGACACTTAGGAATTTTTTTCTCATTTTGGTTCATTGGCATCAGAATGTCCCAGCCACGTTTAGATAACACAGCAGTTATTAATCTCTAAATAAAAGATTCTGTTTTGTCACTGACTGGTTGCAGTCAGTGGCAGTGGGGAGAAAAAAAAGCATCATTCTCCCCAAATTTTTACTAGAATGGATTATTTGTTCACATACATACTGGAACTGCAGCAGAGCAAGAAGCCACGTGCAGTTTTGTCTTAAATGAAGCAGGTTTTGCCTGGGAAATGCAGTGCCATCAAAATAAGGCTAAACAAAATTAGACAACTTCACCAAAATCTCATTTCAGGCCCAATCTCAACCACATTGCACCTACTGCTACTGCTGTCAACTAAGATACAGGTTTGTGCCGTGCCCTTTCCCAGGGCTGCTCTTACTCAGAGTAGCTGTGAGTTCCCCACCCCTGGAAATGTTCAAGGCCAGGTTGGATGGGGCCCTGAGAAACCTGGTCTAGTGGAAGGTGTCCTGGCCTGCAGCTGAGGGTTGGAACTCCCTGATCCTTAAGGTCCCTTCCAACCCAAACCATTCTGTGGTTCTCTGACTCTTCTCTCTGTGTTTTCATCCCTCCAGAACATCTCATAACACTCATGTTTCAGGCTGTTGGCTTTTTGTGGGCAGACATCAGACCTTCTGTTGTCTTTGGACAACCAAATCACCACGGTGGCTCCCAAAACAACACGGGAGCACCAGCTCGCTGGGGGAGGCACAACACCGAGGCCAAAATAAACGGGAATCTTACTGGTCACAGTGAACTGGGTGGAAGTCCTGCTTTCATCAGCCAGGAAGGCAATCTCCCCAGCATCTTCCACCTTGCACTCTCGGATGGTCATGGTGTGCTGTTTGCCAGAGCGTGTGATGGAGATGCGGTCGCTGGGCTTCACCTCTTCCTTGTTCTTGAGCCACCGGACGTTCTGGCAGTCGTTGTCCAGCTCCACGCAGAAGGTGGCTGTGTCATGGATGAACACTGCAGTCTTCCGTGGAAGCTTTTTAATTATGTTCCCTTCAAAATGAGAAAGTAATCCTGGTCAGCAAACAGCAGGTATTAAAGATTTTGGCAACGCTGGCCCGCCCCGACTGTGACAGGGAGAGTCCACACCTAATCAAAATATTATAGATGCTATGCAGATATCCCTAAATGAATTCCCAGGCTCTGAGGGTGCAGAACAGATAACCCCAAGGGCTCCTTTTGGCCTTCAAAGAGAGAAAAACAATCCTGTTTGACTGCAGTCACTCATGGTTCTCATCTACCACACAGAGTCTGCTGTGGGTAAACACAAGGTATACGTGGCCTTGCCAAGAGCAGATTTGACAATGATACAGCTTTCAATGCCCAGATATGCTGGGAATTCAAATTAAAACTTTGCTAAAGTAGGTCAATCTTAAGCCAGATAGGTCTCTTGTCTATCTCTGGGATTTTACCTCCTTCAAAGTTACCAGTAAGTTACATAACCAAGATGACAAATGCATCAGTCACCTGAATTCACAGGAAATACACAAAAACCCTCAGAGTTGTTCTAAGAATCAACCCAGAAATTCATGTGGAATGAACTGCACTTATTTGTGTCCTTTCCAAATGACTGTGATTATTACCACATAATAGAATAACCTCAGAGTTACAAGATGTGACTATTCACAGGAAAGATTGGACAAAGCCTCAGGAACCAACCCCAGCTGACAGATGGAGACAGGCTCCAGCTCCAGACTAGTCTTTGCAAGGTGAAAGAGCCCTCACCCAGAGCTGTTTAATGAGAAGCAGTGCTGAACTCCCTCATGAAGCAACAGGTCAGGCACAGGTTTCATCATTCTCTGCTCATCCTCCTCCTTGGCCCCACTGCCCTCAGCAGTGTCCCCATCCCCTGCAGCCCTTTACATTCAGCCATGTGCTCTCACATCCTCCCAAACCCATCTTTCTCTCTTCAAGCTTCTCCTCTCAGGGCAGGCACAAGGCTCCCCCAGGAAGGCTTTGCCTCCTTTCTCTCCAGAGAGCTCCACCTGGCTCAGTCACTCTCTCTTTAATGGAACATACCATTACAGCACAAACAAGTAAAGAAATACCAGCTGTCCCACTGGGGCCAAATGCACCAACAGAGCTTGGCTGGTTTAGACCTAATGGAAGGTGCAACAATTAGTGCCTGTCTGAACTATCCCACATCTCCAGACTAAATTCTTCCTCCTGTATCCACCTGTGGGCACTCTCAGCCTTTTGCTGATGATGCAAAAAGGAATTTGCACAAGGGTGTACATCACCCAGCTTGTCTTGCAGCAATTTGTGTACAGAAGAAATCCCTCCGGCTTTACTGGGAGTAAGGTCAGGCTTCCAGTGAGTGAGGACAAGAGTAATCCCATAGCTATGACAGCTCTCCAACGCCTGCAACTCTGCTGTCTCTGTCTACTCAATGTGACACACCTACACCATCCCAAATCTACACCTACACCATCCCAACTCTACACCTACTTCCACTTCAGTCTGAAACCACCACCAGACTCGGGAGACTTAAACCTGGATATCCACATTTTGTCCTTTTCTTATCACCTTTCTAAGCTCCGGAGAACAACTCCAGCTGCCAGGGATCTGGAGTGTGGATCTGGTTTCCAATCTAAATCACCCTGCTGCTGACTGCAGCCTGCAGTACACATCAGACCACAAACCACAGCTGCTAAACCCTCTTCCCAGGGTGGTCAGCAGCACTCTCAGACAAGATTCACCCAGATGTTCACAGGACACCACACAAGACATGTGTGACAGTGGCAGGGAACCCATCTGGTGCTTGTGGTCCCATTGAGGAAAGTCTGCAGTGCTGTGCTACAGCTCAGGACACCTCAGAAGGCCCTTTCAACAGAGATCCCCCTGAGTGACATATCCTGTGCAGAAACTCAGTCTGTCCCTGCTCTCTGACCCTGTGTCCCAGATATACCTTGGCAGGAGCTCCAGGGACCCAATGACCAAACATTCCTTTTCATTTAATAGCATGAAGTTGTGTTGGGGAAGTTTGGGTTGGATATTAGGAAAATATTCTTCCCCCAGAGGGTGGTTGGGCACTCAACAGGCTCCCAAGGGCAGTGGGCACAGCACCAAGGCTGCCAGAGCTCCAGGAGGGTTTGGACAACTCTCTCAGGGACAGGGTGGGATTGTTGGGGTGTCCTGTGCAGGGCCAGGAACACAACTTGGTGATCCTTGTGGGTCCCTTCCAACCCAGGATAATCTATGATTCCTCTCACACCCTAAGGGACTCCGCTCTTGTTCGCTGCACACATGGATGTGGTAAATGCCACTCACAAAGTCGAGTCTGGAGTGTCATGCACGAATCTCACACTATGACAGGCAAGATTTGCCCAATCTACAACACTGAGAGCCCTCCTTACCTTGGACAGACAGCTCTGCAATGGTCCTGCTCCCTTCTTTCATCTCACAGATGTAAACGGCGTCATCGTCGGCGGTGACGTTCTGCACGGTGAGCCGGCGGTACGTGCCCTCCTCCTCGATGTTGTACTTCTTGCTCTGCCTCAGCTTGGTCTCCTCCTTGAACCAGGAGGTCTCTGTCCCAGGAACGGGCACCTCGCACTGGAAGGTGGCAGATTCCTTCTCCCTCACCTCGAGGTCCTTCAGTTTTTCCTTGAAGGGTATGGCGGGTTCTTCAGAGGGAGAAAACAGAAAGGGAGGAACAAGAGTTTGTGAAAAGAGCGGGTTTGGATGGGATTTTAGGAAGCAATTCTTCATTGTGAGGGTGGAGAGGCCCTGGCAGAGGTTGGCCAGAGAAGTTGTTGCTACCCTTGTATCCCTGGAAGTGTCCAAGGCCAGGATGGAGTGAGAGCCCTTCCAAGTGGTCCTGCAAAAGCTGGGTCAATAACAAACAATCTGGTCATGGGAGAGAGCTCAGGGCAGCAATTCTGGGTGAGTGTGAGCAGCTGAGCTGCTCAGCTGGTGCAAGAACCAATGTTTTAGGGGTCTTGCAGCAGCAGTGAGCTCAGCAGAGTGATTGGAAAGGGCACAGATGGATGGGAGGTGGCTGAACATGGGATTGATGTGGGAAAAGCACAGAAGTAACTGAGGGAGGAGTTTTCTGTGCTCCTCACCAGCACCAAAGACCCTGTATCAGCTTTTGTCAATGATGAAAGACAAAGAATTAAAGAATGAGCCCAAGCCTCCCAAGTGCCTCTGCCTCCCTCCAGCGGTGGGGCTGCAGAGCTCTGGCTTAGGGAGAAACCAGAGTATGGATCAAACACACAGAACAGCTGCATGACAGGGAGGGAAGTCATTTTATGAACTGAACCATGTCTAATTCCAGTGACAGCTGAGCAGTGACATCATCCTTATACCCCAGACCAAAAGTGGAGAAAGGGGAGTTGGACAGCTGGTGGTCACAGCCACGGGACTGGTGCCACAGTCAGGTCACAGACTTGGATTAGCCAGTGCTGATACATCACCACTCATCCTTCATGAGAGATCATGTCTTGATATGTACCCTCACCTTCTGATAACCACCATGCCAGCTCCCAGCTGTTATTTGTGACTCCATTCTGCCTCACTGCACTCACAGCAGAGAATTTCTTCCTAATATCTGATACACACCTCCCCTCTTTCAATTCAAATAAGATATCAGACTCCGAGGGGGTTGACAGGACACCTGGAGGGAGAAATGCTATCTACTACCTTGGTTGTTACCCTGAGATTAAAACCAGACTGGGAAGCCACACAGGGCACTCACCATGTCAACCTGGTCACTTAAAAAAAAATAAATAAAATATATGTTTTGCCTTAATGCACCTCAATTTAAGGCAAGTCAAAGTCTTGCCTAGAAAAGCCTTCAGCTGTGGTTCCACAGACCTACCCTTCCCATACTCCACATGGCAATTGTCCTTTTTCCTTTACACAACAGGAAACTCAGACTCCTGCCCTGCAATCCCATGTATCACCCTCTGGAAACACCCCATGCTCCCATTCAGGGGGGATGAAACAGGACAAGCAAGAGGATCCTTCCAGTGCCTTAAGAGGATACAAGAGAGCTGGAGAGGGACTTTGGACAAGAGCCTGGAGTGATGGGACAAGGGGAAATGGCTTCACACTGACAGGGTTGAGCGGGATATTAGGAAGGAATTCTTGTCTGTGAGGGTGGTAAGACACAGGCACAGGTTGCCCAGAGAAACTGTGGATGCCACATCCCTGGAATTGTCCAAGGCCAGGTTGGAGAGGCCTTGGAGCAACGTGGGCTAGTGGAAGGAGATTGGAATGAGATGGGCTTTGAGGCCCCTTCCAACCCAAACCGTTCTGGGATTCTATGAGAGCAGGAAAGCTTTGATCAGAAGGATCATGCCAGGCTCTGGGAGCTGGATGCAACGTTGCTGTGTGAGATGGGAGGGAGACTGGAGCTGGCACTGGGAACACACGGAATGCGCAGGGGCCAGAAAGAAATCCGAGCTGCACCTGAGGAGAACACAAGTGCACTCCCATCCTGGGAGCAACTGGGCATATCATTAACCCCTCTCCCTTTACAGGCACTAAGCAGTACCTAAGGTGAAGAGAAAAAAAAAAAAGCTATTCTAGGAAAAAGCTCTTAAATGTACGAACACGGAAGGGTTGGTTGACCCTTTCATGTGTGTGTTGCAGTAACAGCACTGCTCTCCCAGCCAGGAAAAGTCAGTACAAGGCTATCTTTGGCAGCTCAGGGTCACAGATACCCTCCGAAAACAACTTTGCTTTCGTCCTGCTGACATGTGCACACGTGTCTTATCTCACTCTGAATGGAGCTTCAGAGAGGCAGCAGCTGATAAACTGAATTAAAGCCTGGGATGCACCCAGCCCACTCCTTTTTCTGCTTTGGAGTTGCTGCAGTGGCTCCAAAACCCACCAGCCTCCTCCTCCATCATGCTCTTTGCATGATCCAGCATGTACCTGAGAAGACAGAGGGAGTTAATTTTGGTCAGGGGTCTACAGAAGAGCCATACACCACTAGAGAGTAGGCATCCAAACTCATCAGCCCCCTGCCCAGGTCAGAGAGATGCAGTTAAGGTAAGAGATTAAAAAAGAAAGCTGCAAAAAACCTACCTACTGGGGAAAATGTGAGGTAGACACAGCAAAGCAAAACCCTGAGGGAACACAGAGCAAGAGCAGCTCGTGGACTTAGCAGGAAACTGCAAGAAATCAGCTCAGGGATGAATTTGGCCGCTTGTCTCGAGGAGATATTTCTCCAGAGCATCATAGGCTTGTTTGTCTGGTCCATAACAAGCAAACAGGCAGTGAGATGATGTTATTTTTAAGAAGTAAATCCTGCTAACACATATTTTGCTAAGAATAGGTGCAGCCTGCAGAGAAGCTAATGTTTTCTTAACCTTCCCAAGGCACATCTGTCTGCTGGACCTCACTTTCTCACTCGCCTACGTTCCCTCTTACTTACTGCTGGTGTCCTCACAGGTGCTCCATTTATTATTCCAGAGGCAAGTTTTCCCTCTGCAACCCAGTGAGAGTAAGAGTATGGAAAATCCTCCCACCATGAGCTATCTAAAGATGGATAGACAAGCTTCCATCCTCTTGTGCCCTTGGTCTTCCTAGTTATTGTGTTTTCCAAGTTTCTTTTCTAACTCCACTTTTCTCAAGCTGAAATTCTCCTTCAGATCTCCAGTGTGACTCTCACGATGTTGGTCACCCAAAATCACTGCAGATCAGAGGGAGAATGAAGTGGCCTCAGCACCAGCCTGTTTCTCCCTGTTTGGCTTGCAACCTTTAACCTTTCCATACAGTATCTGATTACTTTATTCAGGGACTCGGATGAGCATTGCTTGGCCCAGGATGGAGACATGAATGCTGTTCTCACTAACTTTACAAGCCTAGGGAAACCTCCAAAGCCTTCAGGAAACTCAAGCTGGTTTATTCATGTGTCTCCCATCCTCCCCACTCTCTGGTTTGTTAAAGGTTTAATCTTGGGAAGAATTTCCCAACTTCTTTTACAGCTCAGTGTATGGATTGTTATTTTATCCCTGTTCTGGACACATTTCTAAATCTAATCAAGTTTTAGTTTTCCTTAGTTGGGAGGGTGACTCTGCCCTGTAGCCCCTCCTTTGAGATTTAAGTCTGATTCACTAAATCTTATTTAGGAACAACTGAAAAATCTCTTTCTTTCAGCTCAGTGATCTTTAGGGCACAAGTTCAGCAAAGTGTTCACAAACATGTTGGGAACCTGGGTCCTGTAGGTCCTCAGGTCTCCAGGGTCTAGACTGACAGAGTGTAGGAGGCTTTCTGTGGATGTCCCATTCCTGGAAGTGTTCAAGGTCAGGTTGGACAGAAGAGCCTGGTCTAGTGGAATGTGTCCCTGCCCACAGCAAGGGGGTGGAATAAGGTGGTCTTTAAGGTCCCTTCCAACAAAAACCATTCTGATTCTGTGATTTTGGAGGTTTGACCTGTGCCCACTCCTACACCACAAGAAACCACTAAGAGCCACCTTACAGACATGATGCTGGGCTAGGAAGTCTGGGGTTTTTTATTATTATCTTTAAAAGACCCATAAAAATTCTCACTCAGATTCTTGTGTTAAAATTCTGTGAACCAAGATGCCAGAGGACATTTAAACCCACAAGGTTTGTGTTTCCTGGTACGTGTGTCTATGGACACACACTGTGCATGCAGTGTCACAGGCTCTCTAAACATGCTGTTACTTGCAGAAAGACCAAAAGCACTTGGGGCTGTCCCTTAGAGGGCCAACAGCTGGACTGGGGTCCCCTCCAACTCAGGATATTCTATAATTCTATTATTCCAAGATTCTGTGATTCTAAGGGTGGTTGCTTGGAGAATTCAGCCTCTTCTACATGACTGAGCAAAGGGAAGGTTGTGTGGCAAGATAATCTCCCTCCCTAAACCCCATGGCAGGTGAGAAAATGGCATCACCAGTGACATAAACAACAGAATTAAAAGCTCCCTTTGCTGCTGCTGCATCATTCTGAGCTGTCTTGGAAGGGCTGAGAAGCACTTCTGGTGACACAAGGGAGAGTCATTTATCAGGGCCTAATTATAACCAATACGTGCAGATTTTCCATGGCAGCCTTGGCCTGGACAGAAAGCCAAACATGGCACAGGGCAACAAAGAAACAATCCATAAACATTTCCACTTCATCCCTCTGACTCACAGGCATCTCTGGACAACAGACATTGATCAATAAATAAACCTTTTCCCATGGTGCTTGCTCCCAGACCTGCTGCTTCCCATGCTTTCCCACCTCCTTTGGAACAGGAGGTGTGGGAATTAATTCCTTTAATTCCCACAGAGAATAATGACATAAGCACAGGCAGAGCAGGGGATGTTTGTCTGTTCAAGGAACTGAGCTTGAGCCACCCTCGAAGCCATGGCCCACCCGAGGGCCAGGATCAGTCTCCAGCTCTGAGGTAATCCCAGCTTTATGGAAGAGGACAAATGCCCTTCCCAACACCACTCAGCACCTCCAAGGGACAGCAGTGGGTGGGACAAGTGCCAGCGAGTTCCACGGATCAGGTGTCACTGATGGACACTGAGCCACTGACAGGAAAGGCAGGGTGAAAAGAGAGGTCCAGAAAAGGGAAACCAGGAGAGCAAATAAAAGCTGAGAGCCTTAAAGATGAGCACAGAACACGGATTCCAGCTCATTTGGATTTCTAATATCTTGTGCTGCCAGGGAAAAATTGTTTGACTGTTTTTTAAAACCTATTTTACCACTCCAGTGGCAAAACCTTTAGCCTCTGGCAGTTAATTTACAGGTGCTGCCTGGGTTGCAAACTGCCTGCTGTCCCCTTGCCAGATGGGAGAGCAGCTTGAAAATTTAGGGCTTCCTGGAATGTCCAGGGCCAGGTTGGATGGGGCTTGGAACAACCTGGTCCAGTAGAAGGTGTCCCTGCAGAGGAGGTTGGAACTGGATGATCTTTGAGAGTCCTTCCAAATCAAACCATTCTAGGATTCTATGAAATCTCTGTGTCACATTTTTGTTGCCACTGAGAACTTGGTCTGACCTCCACCAGCACTGAGGGACCCTCTGAAGTCAAGTTCATCACCACTGACCATGGCAAACAGAGGCATCCTGGACCTGCTGGATTTCCTGGGAGCAAACAAGGAATACAGACTATCCAGGAACACAGGCTGGGAAAAGGCTAAAGGCCTGGCAAGAACAAGGCTGCTGGTGGGTTACTGTACAGGAAAACTGAGATGGACTGTAATTAGAGTTGGGGTGGGTGCCCCAAGGGATCTCCAAGGCAGCCAGACACACTCAGCTTGTAGGGAGGAGTTTCCTCTACTACTGTTTAAAAGGCATATGTGCCAGTCTGGGCAAACCCTGTGGGGAATACAAACCCAGATGTGATTAAAGCCTGGAGGGTCAGACAGGGCATTAGCAGTCACTGATCCAGAACATGGTAATGGATCTCTTAGATTACTACAAAACCAAGACTGACAGGACATTTAGAGATCTTATAGGGACCTTAAAGACCATCTATTTTCAACCCCCTGCCATGGGTACGGATGCCACCCACTATACCAAGTGGGTACTACTCAGAAGACTTGAGTTCATCCCAGCTGCCCCACAACCTCCCAGTTCTACATCATCCATCCCTGGTTGGCACCTCTTTAGTACCCTTCCTAAAAACTCCCCGGTGATGGAACTCTGTGCCCAGTTCATCTACTCCAGTGCATAACCCCCTTTTCATTGGGAGGGTTTTGTTCTCATCCCGCTCACCTTTGCTCTCATCTGACCAACTCCTCTGAGAGCAAGAATATGGAGAATCCTCCCAACAGGAGCTATCTAAAGATGGATGGACAAGCTTACACCAAGGGTTTGGTGGTAGTTTTGCTCCTGCCCCTGCCCCAGCTCAGAAGTGCCCCGGCCATCCCCTCTCAGGCACACGAGGAACACGAGCACCCACCTTTGACGGTGACGAGCACGGAGCTGTAGGTCTGGCCCGCCAGGTTGGAGGCCGTGCAGGTGTACAGCCCGTTGTCCACCTGCTTGCAGAAGAGGATCTTCAGCACGAAGTTCTCCTGGTCATCCTCGTAGATGACGTGCCGCCGCCCCTCCGAAATGACCTCGTTGTCCTTCTTCCACACGATCACCGGCTTGGGCTCCCCCGTCACGTAGCAGCTCAGCTTGGCGTGCTTGCCCTCCGTGACGCTGCACGTGCGCGTCAGCGCCCCAAAGGTGGCGTTCCGAGCCCCCTTGGAGAGCCCCGCCGCCCGCTCGTAATCCCGGGAGAGCCCGTAGGCGATGCCAGACAACCCTTCGGAGTAAGACTGGGCAGAGGTCAAGTCCAGAGTGCCGTGGGAGACGTCCATCTTCCTGATCTCCTCCCGCCTCTTCTGCAGGTGGGACAGCAAGGACGCCGTCTTCCCGCAGCTGGAGTCGAAGTTGGCACTGCTGCCCGGGTTGGAGGAGCCGTGTGTCTCCACCACCAGCGCGGCCGAGGCGCTGGCGGAGCCGATGAGGTTCTCTGCCCGGCAGGTGTAGGTGCCACTGTCCCCCAGCCGGGCACACTGGATGGTCAGAGCGTTGGACTCCCCAGCGGACTCGATCTGGAAGCGCCCGGCGTCCGCCTGGTTCCGCAGGTGCCTCCCATCCTTCTCCCAGTTCACCGAGAGGGGAGGGCTACCCTGGACCTTGCACTTGAACATGGCATCTTCTCCCAGGGTTACCTTGATGTTGGAGGGTCTCTGGATGAAGTAAGGGGCCTGCTCTGTCACCGTGGTCTCCTCCCCCACCTTGATGCTGACGGCAGCAAAGGCCTCCCCGATGGTGTTCTTGGCCCGGCAGATGTACTGGCCACTGTCCTCCAGGCTCAGGTCATAGATCGTGAGCCGATAGAGATCCCCATCCTCCGTGGTTTTAAACCTCCCCCCAGACTGGACTGGCAGTTTATCCTTCTCCCAGCTGACGACTGGGATGGGGTTTCCGATGATCTGGCAGCTCAGGGTGGCATCCTTCCCCACGGACACCATGAACGCCTTGGGCCTGGTCAGGAACCGGGGGACTCCGCTGAGGGAGCTGTAATCCATCCTGGCTTCCTTCCTAAAGGGGGAGAAACAAAATGTGTCAGGAGAGAGCGGATTAGAGGGTGCAAGCAAAGAATTGCTACGCTCCTGTGGTATCTGGATCAGCCAGGTTTTCAGTGTCCTTCTCAGGATGGGGGAGAAGGCCTTGGAATGTTTTTGGCCTTGAAGATTTCTTATATTTGAGGTTAACAAACTGCTGATGGATAAGGGAGATCACTTCCCCATGGGAGGCAAAATAGACCTCTCTGGGCAGTTTATACAGAAGGAACATGATGGTCCCTTTCAGTTTTGGTACTGGGGACGTGACCTGCACTAATGTTGTGGAAGATATGGGCAAGTTCTGTAATTGTAGGGAAACAAATGGGCATTAAATTCTGAGAGATGTGTCTAAACATCAAGATACTTCCTCCATCATAGAGCCACAGAATAGTTTGAGTTGGAAGGGACATTCAAGATCGTTTTGGGTTGAGTTCCAACCCCCCTGCCATGGGCAGGGACACCTTCCACTAGACCAGGTTGCTCCAAGCCATGTCCAACCCGGCCTTAGACACTTCCAGGAATGGAGCAGCCACAGCACAGGTTGCCCAGAGAAGCTGTGGCTGCCCCATCCCTGGAAGGTTTCCAGGCCAGGTTGAATGGGGCTTGGAGCAACCTGGGATAGTAGAAGGTGTCCCTGCCCATGGCAGAGGGTTGGAACCAGGTGATCTTCACAGTCCCTTCCAATCCAAACCTACCTAATAACAGAATCTCTGATTCTATTATTCTGTGATTATGCTCACAGGAGTGCAAAGCCAGGTGAAGGAGCTGCCCCAGGGGACAGGCAGAGCAATCCAGACAGTGCCAGCCTTCTCCAGAAGAGCCCCACATGGCTTTAGGGATTACAGGAAAGATGTTTCATCACCTGCTTACTCTCAGCTGTCCTCAGAGGGACCCATGCACTGACCTGCAGCTGTTTGATGATATGGACCAGCCAAGGGGACGAGGCTTCAGCAAAGTTGAAAACTAAAGCTCATGGCAATTCTGGAGCCACTGTGTCCCAGGAAAGCCCAAAGCAATCAGTGGTGCTGATCTTCACAGCCATGTTCACTCACCACAGACTTTACCCACCCCTGTGCTATTGGAGATCAATCCAACAGCAACCACATCCTTCAGGGCACCCCCCCAAGACCCCACAAACCTTCCTTCCTTCTTCACTGCTCCTCACATGCACTCCTGGATGTTCTTTCCCTTCTGCTGGAGTCATTCCATCTCTAACCCTCCAAGGGACCTTTTGCACAGACTGGGTAGGATTTACTTTGGCAAGTGTAGCACAGCTTAAGATCTGCTCTCAACCCCACTGACACCAGTAACTGCACCAGCTGACTCTCCCTGGGAGCAGGATTAGACCTGTTGATGGTGTTCTGTAAGGAATCTGAGCTTCCCAGCTCCAAGCCTCTATGGAGTCAAAGAATCATGGAATAATTTGAGCTGGAAGGGACCTAAAAGATCATCTATTTCCAACCCTCCTGCCATGGGCAGGGATGCCACCCACTAGACCTGGTTGCTGAAGACTTCCATGCACCATTTCTCTCTAAGCTGTTTTATCTCCTTGGCCTCATGATTCCAGACATCCCTGTCCTGAAAAGCTCCTGTCTGAGCTTTAGGAATGGTCCTACTCGGGGGTGATCACAGTGCTGCTCCCACATCTGTGCTTTTTCACCTTCAAAGTGCCACAAAAAGCAAAGGGACAAGGGCTCTGAGTGCTTCAACTCAGAAAGGAAATAAAAACCAGCCACTGAGACAGAAATATCCTTCTTAATCCTCCAGCAGTTTGGTTTCCCTGCTGGACACACATCCACCCACTCTCTCACCCAATGGCAGGTGCTCTCACAATCCCCTTCCAGCTCCAGCAGAAATCAGTAGGAGCAGGCCAAAAATCCTGCTTTCATTTCTGAAATCACCATTTTTCCATTCTTCTGCAGCTCCTGTCAGCGTATTAATGTTAATGTGGAAATCACTGGTGGCACCAGGGAGAGGGATTTGGATCAACCTGCTGCATGACCTTGGGAAAAATCACTCATTTTCCCTGTTTCTTGGCTCCCCTCCTACTTCTTCATATCAAGACAGGGATAGTCTTGATAGTTATTATGAAATAATTACATTCACAGTATATAAATGACAATGTACTTGCTGAGGTACATGGCAAGTCATGCATGAAAATTAATAACGTTGCAATTTCCATTCCATTTCTGCTGCTGGGGATTGAAAAACACGTACTGCCATCAAAAATAAAGACTGGGAAAGTGGTCACAAAAATACCAAATGGTATTTGCTATAAGAGCTCAAGAAGCTTTTGTGCAATGCTCTCAGGGACAGCGTGGGATTGTTGGGGTGCCCTGTGCAGGGCCAGGAGTTGGATTCAATGATCCTTGTGGGTCCCTTCCAGCTCAGGATGTTCTGTGATCATTATTATCATTGAAGATGCTATTGTTGAGCCAAACTTCCAACTTCATTTGGGTCACAGACCTAAGGCATCACCAAACCCGGTCTTCTTTCTATATTTAACAGGAAAAATACACCATGTCCTGTCCTATCCCGTCTCTCTCATTCCAAAGAACATGTGAAATGACAAGAAGCAGTCAAAGACTTTTCCCTTTGGATGAGACTGTTCTTTTCTAAACTAATTTCAGTTGCTTTTGATTCCTGGTATGAAGCAAATTTCATTATTCCACCACAAAACTTTAGAGATTAAAGAAAATGGTTTCAAATATTAAATCTGGGAGGGGAGGGAAAAAAAGTAATAGGGTGAAATCATTTTTAATAAACACTAAGAGGGTAAAGAATGATTGACTTGAAGTCATTAGTGCCAACACAAGCTGACTTTCTGTTAATGGGCCACCTTCAATACTAATTGCAACGAACACACGGTTCTGGTTTTCTCTTGGTCTAAAAGTGGTCTAGAAATCAGTGAACTAGTTTGAACTCCTTTAGTCCCTCTTAAAACCTTCAACCTCTGCCCTCACTTGAGCTTTAAAAACGTATTTTCCATAAACACCTGCAAAGCTGCGGGCAGAGAAGCTGCATGAATGGTTTGAAGGCACAGATACGAGCCCGGGACTGGAGCCAAAGTACACTGAAGTCAGTGGAAATTTCCACTGAAGCCAAATGATTGACAATCAGTGTCTTCTGCTAATTTGGGGAAGCAACATGTCAGCGTTCAGAAGGGGATGTTGAGGTTCAAGCTGTACTCTGGAGAGCCCAGCAGCACCATTCACTACACGAAATAAGAGTTAACAACGAAAACACGGGTTCAGAGCTCATGTCCTGAACTTTCAGGGCCGTTAATTTGGGTTTCAGGCTGCACTGTGTCATCAAAGCACTTGGATTTATCTTCAGGAGACATTGCCATGTCTTATCCTTCCTGGCTCCCTGGTTGTCTCTGATAGATGTGTCACCTGCACTCATTTCAGATTCAAATCCACAGCATCAAAAAGAGAAAAAAAAATAAACTTGCTTCAATTCTCCACCAAACTGAGCCCTGCATTACATGGAAAAGTGCCTGGAGCACCAGGATGGCTACAGACATGAGAGGTGCCTGCTTGGGAACCAGCCAGGGACCTTCCAGCAAACAGTGGCTTCTCTCAAACCACCTTTCTTACCCTCACCTGGAGTCCAGGAGATGCATCCATGCCTGGAGCAGAGCTCTGCTCTGTGGAAGCGTGGAAAGGGCTCTCAAAGGCTGGCTCTTACAACAGCAGGAATGCTGATCACTTCCTAAAGCTCTTGTGCATCCTCCTCCTCTGTTTTCCATGCTAAGCAGTGCCCAAACACAGCCCAGGTACATCTGATAGTGAAGAACAGCCAAAACACAGGGAAGCTGCTGCACCAGCTGCCTGTTGCTTTTGCTCCTGAACCAGACTCATGCACCAAATCCACCCAAGACACTTCTTTCCAGCGACCTCAAGCCCCAGTCTCCTTCTCCTGTTGCTCCCAAACACTCGCCTGGTGTTTGCAACTCCCTTTTCTCCATCAGCAGGAGTCCACAGCCCTTCCAGAGCAGGGTGAAGACCCCACATCCCTCGGTGTAACTGGCACCTCCCCCAGCTTCCACCATGTGCCCTCATACTCTGAGCTTCTTACTCCATTATGAATGGCCAGGATCCAGAAGAAAATCCAGGGATCAGTGGAAACAGGGTTCATCACTACCTTTCACATTTATTTCTGACATTGTCAGAAAGAAAAACAAAGTTTATTCCTTGCTCTGCTGTTGAATTACTTATATAAATTAGAGAAAAACACTCAAACTCTTGGATCTTCAGTCCCTGTCTGAAAAAAGGGGTAAAATAAAAATCTTGTTTTATGGGTGCTGAGAGCATGAAATCCAGTAACAGGCATGAAATCCTAACCTGTGGCAAGGATGAGGCTGCAAGAGGTATCTAACACATCTAACAGGCCAGACAGGCTGCATGAGATAAATCACATTTTATCTAATTTTAAATGGGATAAAATGCATCACGTTGGATTATGCTCATAATTACATTTAGGAGTAAGGAGAGAACAAACTTAACATGCAAAAAGGACAAGATTTAATATTTCTACAGCGTAACTTGGTAATCAACTTTGTAACTTGTCAATCAACTTAGTAAATAATTACATGAATTTAGGTTATCTATATGTTCATTTAAACTTTTAAAAAAATCCAGTAACTCTTGAAGTTAAAAAAAATGATAATAACTCTCTGCAAGTGCCAGGTCAGCTCCCTTGGAAGGGACAGGACTGACAACAAAGCATGAATAAACCAAGTCAATGCAGATGCCCTTTCCAATAAATCTCAGACATTTGCCAGTGTCACATTTCCCCATGTAATCCCTCTGTGATTAATCATTTGCAGCAGAGATCACATTCCCATCTGGGGTAATTCTGAGCACGCCAAAGGAAAACTGGCAGCACTTGTAATTTTAATTATGTTGTTATTCATTCAATTTTTCACTGGTTTGCGTTTGGGGGGAAAGAGGCAGAAGTGCACAGACCTGTCAGATAATGCAAATAAATCACTGCCCAGGAGCCAAACTCGGCCATGCAACCACCCAAGGCCTCCTGCCCACTCCTGTCCCCTCCACTTCCAGTCTCTGCCCAACACCTGCTTTCCCTGGACAAGTAAAGAAGTCCCTTGCAGCGGGAACAGCCACAGGCTTCTCCAGATCCTCCTGGAGTACTGGGAGGTGGAGCTCGTCAGGAGGCCAGCAGGAGATGGAAAGTCCTGGTGGTGGTGCCACAGAATCCCAGGATGGGTTGGGTTGGAAGGGACCTTAAAGATCATCTCGTTCCACCCCGTGCCATGGGCAGGGACACCTTCCACTAGCCCAGGTTGCTCCAAGCCCCATCTAACCTGGCCTGGGATCCAGGGGCAGCCACAGGTTCTCTGGGCAACCTGTGCCAGGGCCTCACCACCCTCACAGTCAGAAATTCCTTCCCAATATCCCATCTATCCCTGTCCTCTGTCAGTGGGAAGCCATTCCCTGTGTCCTGTCCCTCCATCCCTCGTCCCAAGTCCCTCTCCAGCTCTCCTGGAGCCCCTTTAGGCCCTGCAAGGGGCTCTCAACTCTCCCTGGAGCCTTCTCTTCTCCAGGTGAACCCCCCCCAGCTCTCCCAGCCTGGCTCCATCTCCTGACCTCCTGTGGTTCACTGTGCTCTGCTGGCTCATGGGTTGGTCTCATGTTGCTTCATCGATGCTGATCAGAACCTGGAAAGCCTTCACCAACCCCCAAGGACTCAGAGGTCTCCTCCCATGGCATATTGCCCCCCACAAGCCATCAGCAGCCTGTGACAATGCTCTTTGGCAGGAGAGGACAGAGGTGGCAGGTTATTCTCTGTCCAAGCCTTTCACTTTGGTGGTTAGAAAGGGAATCCTGCCCACCCTGACTCTGGGCAAAGAGCAAAAAGCACCGTGCAATCCATCTCCTAAAACATTCCTGAGGCAAAGGTGGCCACGAGTTGCACACCTGCATAAAGGAGACTTTGGGGATGTAAAGCCCAAGTGAGGATAAACCTAAATCCAAGAGATCACCAAAGCCCAAACACAGATTAGAAGCACAGAGGCTCTCTCAATACCACATGAATGCCCACCATGCTCCTGTTTGCTCATTTTCTCAATCCTCTTTTACCCTTTCTTTGCCCAAGTCAAAAAATGTAGATTTGGGGTATTTTTGTTGCCTTTAGATCTCATGTTTCCAGGATTTTCTCTGCAATATCAACTTCTAAGCCTTGCAATCCTTCCTTTCCTGATGGAAAGGACAACGTTCACAAGGAACTTCCCATCTCTGGATCCTGAGCTTTCAAAGAACATCACTAAAACAGAAGCTGCAGATAAAAATCAAGGCAGTGCTGGTATTACTCCAGTTTACATGACATCTCTGCGTGTATTGTTCTATCTAAAACCATTAGGAAATGGAATCCATGGGTGGGGAGGGAAGCTGGTGGGTCCTCAAATGGGAAATGTGGGTTTCCTTTGATGTTTAAAATCCTGCTGAGGGGAAGCAGCAGTAACCCCCTGCTGCCCTCCTGCTTCAAACAGCCTCCCAGGGAATGGACAGCTTGGAAATAGCACCAGTGTCCGGTGTCAGCTGCGGGCTGGGTGACATCAGATGGGTTCTGGTGGGGGCCTGGGAGCCACCCCAGCAGACAGTGTGCTCCGAGGGTGAAATGCACACCAGCACACCCAGAGCTCCCTGCCCATCACAGCCCTAAATCAGGAGTAAGCACAGATTTGCACCAGCTCATCAACCCGAGATCCCAGAATTTATCCCGTGCCCGTTTCAGCAGAGCAGGAACGGGATCTGTGGCTGAGGAGCTGGGCTTGGGGTTTAGCTTGGGCTACTCTGAATTCCACTTCAGTGAGGGACAACCCATTTTGGCACGTTCAAAGGTCACTGGATGAGCTTTCCGTGGTGGATCCATCTCCCGCACTGGAGATGTCGGACGCCGAGACCCTGCGACACAGTGAGCCTGTTGCAAGGAGCTTCTAACTGGGTCCAGAGTGAGGCTGGTCTGCATTCCCTGCCATCTACTTCCTCCATCACAATCCAACACGCACAGGAGATTCCTTGAAGGGAAAGTTCACAGCAGGTCAGGGGCTGACATGGTGTCAAACACGGTGAGCAGCCCCCGAGGGAAAAGGCTCCGCTCGAGGTAAAACCATCTCACCACTCTGACCTTCAGGGTAGGGCTAAAAATGTACCACCAGATTCAGAAAGGACCTGCCTGACCTCGTGCTCCCATTATTAATCCTTTATCGATAACCTGGGCATTTCCAGTGACTGGTAGCAAACAGGAGCCAAAACATTTAGGCTATTCCAAAAAGAACCAAGAATAAATCACATGGTTTGTGAAATCTGCTGGGCAAGGCAGTCAGATCACCTTCCAGTCACATTAGTAGCACACACATATTGAAAAACATGGGAGACTGAAGGCACTTTGATGATTTCTATGCTTAAAGCACATATTATCTTTCCTCCTGGATATAAACAGACCTATTCCTTGCAAAGCTCATCCCTCTTTTAAGCACTTTTCAACAACACACCAACAGCTCCAAGACCTCCATGCAGCAAAGGGACTTCATCCTACTTGGGTTTTCTTGCAGCATGGGGGCTTCACTTCAGATTCCGCCCTCAATGGAGCTCTAAAACGACCCCAGAAACTTCCAGAGGCCTAAAGCTGCTCAGATCAGCCCCTCAAGATTCCACAGCAGCACCTTCCCCTTCTGTTTTTCTGAGCCTAAAGGCAGCAAGGCTGATCTGAAGTAAGAAAAGGCTAAAGCACCAGGGAGGTGTCAGGCACACAGTGATGCTCGTTCCTGCTCTGTGGGGGTGAGAATGGAGGAGACAAATGGAGGGAAAAGGCAAAAATTCTTGATTTGCCACCCCGGGGACAGAAAAGGAGCTACTTAAATTCTGGAAATTTCACCGCAAAAAATTTCCTTACAAATTTTGCCCGACTGGCCTTCGCTTTACACACAGCCCTGGAGGGAAGCAGCTGTGACAGATCCCAGAAAAAAAAACAAAAAAAAAACAGACTTCCAGAGACAGGAATTGTCTGGGTTCAGCACACGTGATTTCCTATGCGAGGCAGCCGCGGGATCGCAGCTCCCACACAGACAAAGAATTCCCTCGGTGACAATCGGCAGCGGCTCCGACCTAAGCCCTCGTATTTTAACAAGTGGACGTCATTGTCATTACAGTCACTCCACCCCATTGAGCTGGAGGGCCCAAAATAGCCTCAGCTGTCGGGCTCCATCTCCCCCCATCCCTCGTCAGAGCCCTTGGGAGGACCGGGAGGAGGGTGGGGGGTTGCAGAGTGAATCTGTGCTGACACCGGGCAGGAACTCAGAAGGGGTAAAAAAGCCCTGGCTGGAGAGAAAAGCAGCTCTGAGATTATGCCCTGGAAATGAAACTTTTCAAAGCACTCCTTGCTGCCACTTCTCCACAGGAACCACATGTTTTCCAGGCTTTCCAAGCACTGCTGTCTCAAATTTGGGGACAAAACGTATCAAGCAGAATCGACAGCTTTAAACTTGATTCTTCTCTTCTCCTCTCCTCTGGAGGACGATCTTTGCTCATTTGATTACATGGCCAGAAGTAATTAAGCAAAACAATCCACATTTGGTTTGGAGCAGAGGAAGGATGGATTTACTCCCTGTACCTTCAGCTTCATCTCCCAAATATGTTTCATAAAGCAAGACATACCCCCAGCACGGCACAGAAACAACCTCACCCCTCCCTCAGCTACCAGCACTCTCCACTTCCTGCTGGAAATCAGCATCCCCAAAATCCACCTCTCCTTAGCTGAAGGCTTAGGTCTTACCTGGAGTCTTGTCTGAGTCTGAGGAGAACAAAGCTCTGGGCAGGGCAAGAAAAAGCCGATTCCTACTGAGATGACAGAAGGGGGAAGAGGGAAGAGGGGAACAGAGGACATGGGGAGACCATGTTGGTTTGGGTTTCCCCCCCCCTTCCCCCTCCAGGAAAATAAAACAGAAACCCCAGCGGTGGCAGGGACGTGCGGCAGAAGGTCCCCCCAAGTCCCCCAGCAGTGGCTTTGCTGCCCGGGGTTAGGCTGTGCCACCCCCTCCTCCCCACCCCTCCCCTGGGTTGTCCTCCCCCAGTCAAATTGCTGACGTGCTTTGCTTTCCCTCTGCAGCCCAGCTCCAAAATAGCTCTGGGTGTCATTTACCGGGGAGATTAAATTTCCTGCAGGACAGGGGCGAAAGGGCAGCGTTTTAGGGACTTGCTGGGACACTCCAGCAACAGGAGGGGAGAAAAAAACCCCACCATCAGAGGTGTGTTTTTCGGTGATCTGGGGTCAGGCTGCTGTGACAAGGTGGGTCAGAACTGCTCCTCAAGGGTCCATCCCAAAGCCAAGTGCTGGATGTGATGTGGGGAGCCGGGAACAGGCAGCTGCCGACTTATCAGCATTGCACACTGCACGGGAATTCTTCTCCAAAGGCATCAGATCAATAGTAGGTTTATTTATAACCTCCCAGGCAGGAGCTGTCACAATGGCAAAAAAACCCGGCAAGTTAATAAACCTAAGTGTGTATCTCCCTTTCTTAACCTTATACACACATATAGGTTATATATATCTCCTCACCTTTATGCCTCAGGAATACAAAGTGTCTGCAAAAACAGCCTAAGCTGCACCTCCAGCCCCTCTCAGAGGCTCAAGATCATAATTTCCATATTTACCAGTAAAATTTCTAAATTTTTAAACAATTTCCTAAAAACGGAGTTCACACCGACTCTTATTAGCAATCACAGCATTTTAAATTTAAAACTAATTTCTGCTAAGGACAGAGGAGGTAGAAAGGAGCCCAGCAGGCTCCCCCACAGCCACTTCAGCTCTGTGCAACTGTCGGGGTGAACTGCAAGACACGCTTATTTTTGGCAGTACACAAAGCAGATAAGGTGCTACACAGTCCAAGGGTCTGAAGACACAGTGATATGTTGTGTTAAATCACTTTTCAGGGCACAAAAAAACCCATCAGGGCAGCAAAAGGGAGTTTTATTTGGGGTTTTGAAAGCAGTGGTTGAAAAGAGGCAAAGAATCACAGAATGGTTTGGGTTGGAAGGGACCTTAAAACTCATCTCATCTTCAAAAGCGACCATAACGTTATAGGATTGAGGGGAAAGGAGGTTTCTGCCTTTGAGAAAGAGCTCAGAGACAACACTTTATGACCTCTACCTTTGTTTTTTGTGAAGGACCACCTGTATTTACTAGAATTTCAAAGTCATAACAAGTTCATTTTTACCACTGGCGTGAGTAGCAGCTCCATAACTACTCGTACACAGGTTGCTGGACCCACGTGGGTGGTGCTTCTCTGAAAAGCAGGACAAACAGCAGCAAAATTCTCCACCATCCATCCAGACATAACTAATGAGCTCCTTGCAGGCTCCACCACCAGGCCCTTGAAGGAGGATCAGGTAATTAATATGTGATAATGGCTATTTGGAGATGCTAATTCTTAGACAAATGCTACTGCATCGGTCCCACTTGGCAGCCCTGGGATGGTGACACCAAAGCCTCTGCTGTGCTTCCAAACCAGCCTCTCTGGGTCCTGTTCACTTCTGAAATGAAGGCAACATGTTTTGGGAGGGCTCCCAGATGGGCAGTTTGTGTCTGTGGTTCACCTGGTGCCTTTCAGAGTGAAGGACAAGGAACACTTTCTTGTTTTCATGGAATCATTAAGGTTGGAAAAGCCCTCTGAGACCATCAAGCCCAACCATCAACCCAGCACTGCCAAATCCTCCACTAAACCATGTCCACTTAAACCCCTCTTTAAAAACCCTCCAGGGATGGGGACTCCAACACTTCTTTGGGCAGCCTGATCCAATGCTTGTCAACACCTTCAGGGAAGAAATTTTCCTTAATATCCAAATTAAACCTCCCCTGGCACAGCTCGAGGCCTTTTCCTCTCCTCCTCTCCCTTGTTCTCTGGGAGCAGAGCCTGATCCTCCCTCCTGTCAGGGAGTTGTAGAGAGTAAAAAGGTCCCCTCTGAGCCTCCTTTTCTCCAGGTTTTGGGTTTTTTTTGGATGCTGTTACTTGCCCTAATTATCCTGAATTGAGTGGATTGCCCAAGATACCCCAACAGGCCACTAAAAATGAGAATAAATTAAACACCCCCTGTGCCAATGAGTTATTTATTTACTCAGGAACTACTACAACGTGTCACAGGTTTAAAATAGAAGGAGAATCTATATATGATGGGCTAATAAAAACTCAAATTTATAGAGAGAATGATGAAAAAGTTGAAAGCACCTGAATTTGTAGGAAAACAAATCAAATGTCACCAGGCACAGAACTGCTCCCTTCCTCCTTGAAAAACCAACAGGCAGCTTTTCCACAAGTGTTTTCTTCCCACTCCAAACATCAGGGAAATGTGCTTTAAACAGCAGCTTAAAGCAGTTTTAAAATACAGAAAAATCTTTCCTTGCACTTGAAAACTGAATCTTCGAGCTCCAAAACTGCTCATCCAGACTCTTCAGCTGGAAGTAAAAGGATGCCAAATGAATTTAGCCATAGTTTGCAGACACTTAAACAAGCTGTGCTTGGGTTTTCTCCAAGAAATCAGTTAAATTATTTGAATTGTTATAACTAGCAAAGCCTGAGGCATAAGATCTTATTACAATATTCCTCTTAAGTACTAGATTTTTTTGCTTTAAAAAGCAGATTTTTGTCAAAAAAATTATTCCTCCTCCTCCCTGAAGGAGAATTTCATTTGATTTTTCTCCCATGTGATAGTGCCCAAGAATCTAAAATTTATTCCATTATTTTTCTCAGTATTTTTATTCACTTTTTACAGACAACTAAAAACCCCTGATGTTTTGTCTCCTTATCTCACACTAAGAATAAGTCAGAAAAATAATAAACAGTAAAATAAAAATCAATATTAATAAAAGTTTTGCCCACAAATAACCCACAAAAAGAGATTTCTTCTTTTTCATTTAATTCTCTTTTAAACATCATCAGCAGTTCCCTAAAGCACTTCTAACATAAAGGAGCATATTCCCAAAGTAAAGGCTACATATACCTGGAAATGCTGACTGATAGAGTCATGGAAAACACAGAAAATTGTTAAATAAAGGTAAATCTAAGTATTCCATTGAATTAAAAAAAAGAAAAGAGATGCTGAATTAATTAATAACATCTTACCAAGGCTTCCAAAAAAAGCTGATGAAGGTTCCTACACATTTTTTGGTGCTTCCCTGCTCTTAACATGAAACATTTTTCCATGTATCTAATCAAAATCCCTCCACTGCAAAATCCCTCCACTGCAAAATCCCTCCACT